CGCGCCGGACGCCCGCCCCGCTTGGGAATGGCGCCGCGCCGTGGCCGCGCGCTGCAGTTAACCCCGCACCAGCTATAGCCAGACGGGGCAGGGAAGGCCTTGAAACCTCTATTTCCAATTGAGCACCATCACCAAAGGGGGGGGGGGGGCTGGCAGTGGAGCTGTGGCTCAAGTGGTAGAACACCAGCCTTGAGTCCAAAAAATGGCTCAGGAACAATGCCCAGGCCCTGAGTTCAAGCCCCAGAACCTGCACGGAGAGAGATGGAGATTGGGGGGACTCCGGAGGGGGTTTCCTTAGATAATAGTTCAAGATGATCATAGACTCTGAAATCTTCAGTGTTCTGAGTAATAAAAACAAGTTCTTTCTAATCTAATTAATTTTCATGTTAACAGGTTATAAATGAAAGAATCAGAGACAATATCTTCAACGGTTTTTATCCTACCAGCTTATGTAGAGCGGCTACTTCCTATGTCTCTTAGTAACTTACTGTAGTGAGCCAACCCTAACACAGTACAGGGAGGGAGGGGTCCCCTTCCCAGGAAGTGGGGTACCAGCCACACAGTCCCTTTCCTTTGGAGGAGAGCACACTGTTAATATTTCTATATTTGCCCTTTTCTCTACAGGTATTCCAGTAACAGCCCAGACTATCGCATTTTTAGCACCAGAAGTGCTGTAAGTGTTGAATGCGCAAATCTATGAAACAGCGGGCATTATAATCATTTATAATCTAAAAAAAAATCAGTATATCTATGTATGTTTACAGATGTTAGAGAGTGAAAGCGGGATCCAACTCCAGCTGATTAGAGGACAGGAAATGTTAGAAAATGGGCCAGGACTTGTCAGAAGGGGGAAAGAAGGGAACCAGGAAGTAGCTCTAGAAATAAAAGCAATAAAGTCCTGCTGATTGACAGTGATAGGTAAATAATGGGATCTGAATTTAAAGTGGTTTTCCGCCTGGTCCCCAGACCTCCCTGAGTACCAGTCTCCAGGAGACTGGTAGGTAGATGATTGTTGGAAGTAGAATGGGACATGCGTTTGGCCTGGGATGCGACACAGTGGTAGAGCATGGTCTTCTTGTGTGTGAGACCTGCATCAATCCTTAGCACCAACTGAAGAAAAAGTTTTAAAAGCTTATCAACTTTGGGCTGGGAAGGTGGCTCAGTGGTAGAGTGCTTGCCTCACATGCATAAGGCCCTGGGTTCTATGCCTCAGCAACACATAAATAGAAAAAGCCAGAAGTGGCGCTGTGGCTCACGTGAACAAACAGCTCAGGGACAGGCCCCAAGGTCAAGCCTCAAGACAGGCCAAAAAAAAAAAAAAAAAGCTTAACAACTTTTGGAGAGAGGAATGTCTTAGGAAGTTGTGATTCCTTTGTCATATGACTTTGTACAGCTTTGAAAAAACCTGGATTTCAATCAATAACCAGAAAACTGAACTGTAGAACTGAGTGCTGAGGGGAACATTTTGAAGCACAGCTGCTTCTTTAAGCGTACGGTTGACGGTTGAGTCATTTTATGCTATTCACCAGTCACAGCCAGCACCCTCACTTCCATAGGGAACAAGTTCATCAATCTTATTCCCCCTCCAGCCCCAGCCAACCACAGATCCCCTTTTGTCCCGATGGACAGGCCTGTGTGGGATATTTCATAGCAAGAGCCCTACAGGGTGTGGTCCTGGGTGCCTGGCTGCTTTCCCTCAGCATAATGTCCGCAAGGTTCAACCCTGGTTTAGCACAAATCTGGTCCTCGTTCCTTTTTAATGACTGAATACTATTCCAGCATTTGAATTTACCATGTATTTACCCTTTCATCAGTAACAGGCATTTGAGCTGTTTCTGCTTTGAGGCTGCTGTGAGTGCTGCACACGAGCATTCACCTACCGGTTTTAAAGAGATTTTCCATCTGGGCTCCTTTCCTTCCTTTTGTAGATTAAATTAGAGTATGAAGGAACAGCATTTTCTGAGTGGAGTGTGCCAGCAACTTGCATTATCCAGGATAAAAGGTACTGTTTTCACCACAAAGATCTACACACATCTGTATCTACACCTGCAAGTAAAAAAGCACTCACACAGTCTAGACATTCAGAATTAAAGCTGTGACATAGGATAAATTTCCTTCCATTAAACAGATGTGTAAGGAAAGACAAAAATCACTTTAAAATAGAAGTAAAATATTATTATAAAGTTTTCTCCTATTAGAATACAATTGAAGGTTTTAAATTTAAAAATAGTGGGAGGGGCTGGGAAGGTGGCTCAGTGGTAGAGCGCTTGCCTTGCATGCATGAGGTCCTGGGTTCGATTCCTCAGCACCACATAAGCAAAAAGAAAAAAGCCAGAAGTGGCACTGTGGCTCAAGTGGTAGAGCGCTAGCCTTG